TGTGTGTGTGTGTGTGTGTGTGTGTGTGTGTGTGTGTGTGTGTGTGTGTGTGTTGACACATCTTACAAAGACAAAAAATGGGACAGAAATGAATGGTAGCCACAAAATTCTGAAACCTAAAAACTGGTAATGATTATTCTAGCAAACTAGGAAGGGGAGATAAAGGGTTTGTTGGAAGTCCATTTAGGACACCTCCACCAGAAGGATTTTAAAGTCTGGCAACACCAAGTTTACAGTATGTGGTGTGAAAATAGTTTGTGTTGGTGGTAGGAGTGTCACCTGATAGAACACTCTGGAGAGTAAGTTTGTTATTACACAGTAAAGTCGAACCTTCATGTTTACCCCGGAGAAACACATATGTAAGTGTACCAGGGGCATAAAAAATATGTCAGCATCATAAGAGCAAAAAAATAACTGTTCAAATACCTATTGACAGGAGAAGGGGTAAAGTTATTTGTGGTAGAGTCACCCAATGGAATACTGTGCAACACTAGAAGAGTATGTATGAACATAATTAAATCCTCAAAACGCAGTGACGTATGAAAAAAGCAAGCCAACGAGTATGCCATAACTGGTCGATCGGGTGGATGCAGCGGCTCATGCCTGTAATCCCAGCACTTTGGAAGGCTGAGGCAGGAAGATCACTTGAGCCCAGAAGTTTGACACTAGCCTGGGCAAAATAGTGAGACCCTGTCTCTACCAAAAATTCAAAAATTGGCTGGGCATAGTGGTGTGCAACTGTAATCCCAGCTACTCAGGAGGCTGAGGTGGGAGGATCACTGGAGCCCCGGAGTTCGAGGTCAGCATGGGCAACATACCTAGACCTCGTCTCTATTTTAAAGTGTTGACACAACTCAAAAAATATGCGTATCTGAGACAATCGGACAGTGAAAGCCTATGTAGTGGATATTTGATGATATTAAGATGTTAACTTTTTGAGGTGAGATCATGTGTATATATGTATGCATATATTTAATATGGATATATATCTATATCAATAGATGTTGAAATATTTCAGGTTTAACTAGAAGACTTAAAAGTGCATGAAAGCCCTAGTTCAACATAAACTGAAATGTTCCCTGATTTTGAGCAATTGCTAGAGTCTAAGAAAAGGTGTTCCTGAGGTTTGGAAGTTTCTTCTTTGAGGGCGAACATTCACCCCCATAAAATCACATTATTTTTCAGGGCTCCGTCATTTAATGTGGGTCTTTCAGGGAATAACATGTTTCAGCATTTAAAGCTGCTACAGGATGGAAGGCAATTATAAGAGGCGGTGGCTCAGGCCTCTCATCCCGGCCCTTTGGGAGGCCGAGGCGAGAGGACGGCCGGCGCCCGGCCTTCCAGACCAGGCTGGCCA